TGAGAGAGGTATCCTGTAGTGCTGAAATTCTACATTACAAAGAATGTCTGATTCTTTGCCCTCAACTGGACTCTACAGCTTTAAGGTGACATGCAGATTACGGTCTGGGTAGCTGTAGAATATGAAATCTTTTGGCTGCAGCTTGCTGCGATATTGAAGACTTCTACTGCTCTCACACCCTGCACACACCCTGTTTAATAAGCGCACACACTCAACAGATTTGTGATGTGTGGCTGAGGGCCCCTGAGCGTAACAGGCAGAACATCTGAAGCACACCACCATTTCTGCTTAAATCCAAAAAAACTCACTGTAATTCTTCCATTCACACTGTGATTGTGATCCACAGTGTGAATGGCAGAACGCAGTGCTGCTCCATCTTTTTGTCACCAGTTAGAATTTGTTCAGCTGTCCTAACTACCCAGCAGTGTTACTGGCCAAATATGCAAAGTGTTCGGCTCTCATCCTTCTGTTCTGATGAAGGAACAGAGGAGAAAAGAAAGAAAGAACAACAGGAACAAGCCGATACAAAGATTACACAAGGAGATAATGATGAACCTGGCTAGGCTACAGATTTAAACTGACCAGAGCAGATTTACTCCCTAACAATGTAAATTACAGAGTAAACAGAGGTTTTGCTGTATTGTGACCGGGCAGCAAAGAGATACAGTATGCTCAGAGAGTTTCTCTAATGACTCCCCCATACTGAAGTCCAAAGCAGGGTGACATTAAATCTTAATGAGAGCATTAAAAACTTAGATAATGGAGAATAGTGAGCATTTCTGATTAACTAGACAAATTAATAGCTAGTGTCACATTAACACTTTGCTGAACTCTGCCAGGCTTTCTGCAACACAGGGGTTTTTCCAAATGCAGTCTGCTCTGAACATACAGTGAGAACAGCACAGATTTCTCCACAGAAGCAAAAGCACAAATTAAAGGTCTAAAGGTCTAACGCTGCTATTGTTATATACTTTTTTGTTGCTGTCAAAAAGTCGCATGAAAATACCAAAAGAAATTATTCTTTAGTCAGCTTTTCAGTACCTTCCAACTCATCTTGCCTGTCTGCAGCTCTCTGGGTCAAGTTCATTACTTTTTACTGCAGGTGTTCAAAATCATCATAAATATATGAGTTCATGTATTTGGCAATGATTACTCAAAAATGGGTAAATATTGCATTCATTGGAGATTATGTATGTGGTTTTTGCTGAGAATGAATAAAAAATAGATGACATAAATGAAAGTTTAAATAATGAAATAAAAGAACATATATGCCTATATACAGTATGTAACTGATGCTGACTCATTTGCATTTATTAGTCTTGGCACAACTGCATCTGGAGACACTAAAATCTTATCAAAACTTTTTTTTTTTTTTTTTTTTTTTTTTTTTTTTTTTTTTTTTTTTTTTTTTTTTTTTTTTTTTTTTTTTTTTTTTTTTGCATACAATATGCAGTAGCAGGCTACGCCCCAGTATCTATGAATAGACCTCGATGTGTGAAATCAATGGAGTTCCCCTTTAAAGCTTTTATGTTCCTACTTTATGTCTGGTTTTTGTTATCAAAAAAAGCGATGATCTCTGAAGGTCAGATTTCTACATTCACTCTCCATTGTTCTCAATAGCACATGACACAATCACTCATCCCTCTGTCAGTCCTTCTATCCACGTGCCTACAGCACTTCAAGTTTTATATCTAACAACATACTTTACAGTCTCTTTTGCAATCTTTTTTATGTTTGTAAATTTACAAAGACCTTTGTGAATGTTGTTGTTGTGGGATGTGTTACAGACAAGAGCGGCCAGTGAATGTGATCTGTATCGACTTAGAAGTGCTGTTTTCTTTATCTGAGCAACTGTGCCACTTAATAGATTTTGTGTTTGTTCTTTATTGTTTTTCCTGCTGTAGATGTTACCCAGTGCAGAATTTTAAAGCTGGAACAGTTTGCTTAGTACCTTTAAACAGCAGCATCATTTCCATTTGTAAACATTTCTTTTCATATTAATATCAACAGGGAAGGCAGTGTGCCATCAGATGCTTAATTAAAGTTCCTTTTATATTACCGACAGCTTCTGCATTTAAAATGACCGGTCTGCTTGCTAACACGTTCTTATTTGGGGGACACAAATGATTTATATCTCATCTGTCCCTCTCTTTCTCATTGTTTCTTGGATTGTTACACAAATTTATGTGTACTGTACGCATGTGTGTGGAAGTGTGCACTATGCCGAGCTATAGATACTGTATGTGCCACTTCCCTTTGTGGTAAACCAGGAAAAATGCCAGGGGGAGATAAGGTTAAAGCATCGATAAGTCTTGACAAACAGCTTCTACAGATATACTCACACACTGGCATCCAATCCAGACACTTAACACAGGCAATGTTCATTCATCTTGATAGCTCTTAGTCAAAATATCCAGAGATGCCATCTGTAACTGAATCTAGAGCAGCTGGTCAAATTCAATCATGGACCCTGACCGAGTAGGTCAAAATGTTGCAGCTGGAGACTAAACAGGTGAAACAACTGTTGGAGTTTGAGCGAATCTGCTGACAGAACAAACGCTAAAGGGCCTTGTTCGGTCCTATTCAATTCAGGAACCCATCTAATGAAGAATTCAGCTCAGGCATATACAGAAGATGCTCTTCGAGACAATCTCTATTCCTCTCCACAATCTCCTGCTGGACTAAAAATCGATCCCTCCATGGAGCAGTAGCCCATTTGTCCTTGGCTTTGACAGAGGCTTGGGTCAATAAAGGCACTGCAGTGCTGCTCCCTTGCTGGGCCTCCCAGCAAAGCTTGTGTTTGGCACAGCAATACTCTGGCATTCTTAACAGATGGCACAGGTGTACAACATGAATGAAATCACTGGAACAAGTCAGAGCCACTGGGCAGCACTGACATATTTTGTGGCCTCTCCCGCATTTATCTCATGGAGGTGCACGACTTAGCCCTTTGGAAAGCACAGTAGATAACATACCATTTAAAATCTTGGTTTACTTTGTACCTTTTACACTAACAGGTAATCTAACTGAAAACTTGAAATTATTTGCACTTTTTGTTTTTAATGAGATATAAAAGGTCAGTAATTTAAAAGAAGTTATGCATTTGTCACTGTGCCACATTGTCAATGTATTTTTATTTCTGTCATGTCAAACATTTGTCACATCATACATAGAGCTATATTTGAGACACAGCTATATATAAAGCATTTTTAAAAAGCAACAACACATCTTCCAATTAAACGAAAAGAAAAACATTTTAAAAGTCTGACTTTATATGTACCTCTGTATTTTTCCAAATCACATACACTGATCAGCCATAACATTATGACCACCTGCCTAGTACTGTTTACATAGGAGTCAATGCGTTATTTGGTTGACACTCGTGTCACTCTGCAGCTCGCTGTGCATCTTCTGTGAATCTGTTTGCTTCCATAGTTCTACTGTCAGAAAGAGCATGAAAATATCCACCATTTAGTGAAAAACCTGTGTAAAAGTAGTCAAAACTGTGGTTGTGTGGAGATCATTTTTAGACATATTCATCAGTCTCACCACTCTAGGTGTGATATCATCACTACAGCCGCTGAATGTTTCTCTTCATAGAGACAAATCTACAGTATTTCTCATTTTCAACCATTTTAACAGAGATTCAAACAAAGTGGATTTTAAAAAATAAAGGAAATTTAAATGTTTAATCTACAGTAGGTCAACCTCATCATCAGTGAGCCTTGGGCATCCATGACCCTGTCGCCAGTTCACTGTTTGATCTTCCTTAGACACTTTTGGTAGGTACTGACCACTACAGACCAGGAACACCCAACAAGACCTGCAGTCTGCTTGCCTGTTTTTCCTGCTTCCAACACATCAACTTCAAGGACTGAATGTTCACTTGCTGCCTAATATACCCACACACTGACAGGTGCCATTGTAACAAGGTAATCAGTGTAATTCCCTTCATCTGTCCATGGTCATAATGTTATGGCTGAATGTGTACTCTGGGTTAGTGTGCAAAATTTAAATAAATTGTACATTGAATAGGAGAAGAAATAAAAGAAATGCCATAAGCCAAAAAAGTTTTTTTTTTCTCAGCCTTTCTCAAAGTAACTGACAAAGTGAAATGCCTAATAGCCAATGCAGTTGTTGCACATTATCTGTGGAGACAAGCAGTAGACAGACACAGGTAGCGACTAGCTAGTGAGTATAAGTGAGCATTTAGCAGCTAAAGACCCAGATATTTCCTTCAGGTGTTAGTGGAGACCAAAAAACAGAGTAACACTATAAAGGTCATGTTGCTCTATAGCAGCTGGAGATGCAGTATTTCAGTCTAGAACCGCAAGTGGCCTTGAATCTGTGAGTGGAGGAGAATGGTAGCAAATGAGGATGGCAAATTAATTCTCTTAGTGTTAATAAAAGACAGCTTAACCCGACTAAGAGGATAATTAACAAAAATCCTCTAATTTACTTGATTGTCTCTTGGATGAACATGTGATTTACTAATTAACCTGTTGCAACCACCTTCCCTCAATCCCAGTAATAAGCAGACTGGAGAAAGCAATCAGCCTGACCCTATCATTATTTGTCATGAATAAATGTCTGTGTTAACATCATTAGAAATTACGTATTCTGCAGTATATAATCATGCTGATATTATGCACATCTTTTCAGATTCCATAGCAAGCCCCTGAAGCACTGGTTTAAAAACACAGGCTGACAGGCAGCAGTCTCACAACACAGAGTCACATGCATAAACACACACACAGACACACAGAGTACCTACCCCCACGTGGAGTTTCCCGGGTTTTCCAAATTACAATGTGTCAAAATTCTGAATACTGTATGATTACACTGCGTGGGCGTGGAGTACACTACATTTAAACAGTTAACCACAGTGGGAAAGGCCCTCTTTAACATAAAGCTGAAGCAGTTCGGCCGTGTCACTTCCTATTCTCTGAACTGTGCATCATGTGTCGGCCTCTTCCACTTCCTCTTTTGCTACGTATCAATACTTTACTTTCCACCACATGCTTAGCGGAGGATTTATGAAGAAACACTTCACCTCCAGTGTATAGCAGTGTTTAATAAATTCTGTTTCAGACTTATAAAGATTTGAAGAACTGAGCAGTCATGGATGGAGACGTGCTGTCTTTGTCATCTTCCTTATCACTATCATCCTCATCAGCAACAGCAGCAACAGGAACACAGAAAGATTCTTCACCTGAGAGTGACGGCAGCCTCTCTCCGAGCCAACAGGAAGACAAATCAACTGAAGAGTTATGGTATGGATGCTCACATTTCTGTATATATGAGGTGAACACAAAACAAAAACACCAAACAGTGTAAAAACAAGTTACAGTAATGTAGTCCAGCCCAGCAGGCTTGCTTAAATATACAGTTTGAGACTAACAAATGATCACCTGTTTGATCATTGTCTGTAATTTATGAAAATCTAGTTGGACACCCAGAGTGTTTAAATTGTATTGAAAATGTATTTCTGATCACATCTTTGGAGGGGTTTCGCGATGCTTATGTCACTGAGAGGAGTAATAGTGAGACCACGGAGTTTCCCCCATGAGTTCATAATGATGCAGGGCTCAGTTCATTAGTTTTTAATAATGATACTCTACCATGTCAAATGTAAAAAAATATATGTAATTAACATATCTATTGAATAATTTTATATAGTTTTAAAAGACTAATAGTCAAGTTTTCTTCATGTGGGCACACTTGATCTCATGACCACACTACATACACAAATGATTAGTAGTCTGCTTTTCAAAGGGACAGTGCTGTCTCCCTCCTTATCGTATGCTGTGACAGTGAATCATCATGTTGCTGTGGGAAGCAGTGGCATTTTACAGTCCTTCCAAAATGTCACACGATTGAAAACTTTGTGAAACTGGGCCACACTGCGTACATCAGCTGTCAGAAAAGGTTCCTCATCAGGGTGACAGGAAGCGTGCTGTGGCCCCAGTAGAATGGCTAACTTACCAAGACAGAGTTGTCAATGTGGGTATGTTAGCATTTTGTGCTCATACTAGCCACAGAAATTAGATTTTGTTGTTTACTTTATCTGTTTCATTTCAGCTTTTGCTTTCATGCCTCAGTTCCCAAACTGCAGAGCTGTTGGCTCAGTGTGGACAGCTCACTCATTAGCGGCCATAGGCGGCCCTCACCAAAGTCCTTTCTCGCCTTGGGAAACCCAAAGCGATGACAGAATTGAATGTGTAATTTCAGATAAACATTTTGACGCTGTTAACTTGTCTTTTACGTAATAACTCTTTTTGATTACCTGATGAGGCCGTGTACATTTCATGTATTCGATGTATCATTGGAAAATAGCAATGCATTTTGTGGAGATCACATCCCTGCTCATTTCCCACATTTCTGAAATAAGTAAAATCCCTTCTTTTGAGATTGATAACATATTTTAATGTTACCTGGGAGCTCTGAGAATGTTTAATAGACACAGTTCAACAACAAAATAATAGCTTGAAAGTTGCTACATAAAAATATGAAGCATCACCCAGCAGCTGGCTAGTGCTAAATTAAGTTGTCATTTTTAAAGGGGGTTATCACAGTAAAGTTGCTTGGCAGCTAGTGGAAACTCCAGAAAATCACTGGTCTGAGTCAAGACATAATTCCAGACTTAACCCTCTGTAATAGTGCAACTTCTTGGGGGGCTTTTATGTTTTTTATATTTCCTCTGGACAGAGTCAGTTTAGCTGTTTCCCTGTTTCCTGTCTTTTGGCTAAGCTGACCTAACCCACTACAGGCCTATAGCCTTACACTGACCAGACAGTCTGGAGAGTGTTATAATATTCTCATCTAACAAGAAAGCAAATAAGCACATTTCCCAAAATGTTAACTATTCCTTTGAGCCCAAGAAGACAAACAGCTTATTATCTGATTTTGTTCATAATCCCAAAAGGAACCATGTGTTGTGAAAACTGCTAACCCTGAAGCTACAGTGACTTGTCAGGAATTCAAAACCTGCATCTTCCCATTTGTACTACCTTGAACTAACAACACAACTCTCTAAAATTGTGTAACACTGGTTTTTACATAGCAGGACACTAAGTGGATGAAAGCATGTGTTTGTGGGGGAGTTTAGCCTTAAGGTGGATGAGCCATGATGACACTGATGCTTTGTGGTTCATAGCTTACTGAGGTTACATCCATCCTACAATATATGAAGAAGCCCTGGGGGCTACATGCAAAGTTATGTGTTCTTCCCTGAGCAGATTCCCGCCAGGCTTTAGATCTCAGCAGCCTCTCTGACAGCTATTCCTGTTAGATAAGACCTCACAACAGGGTTGGTGGAAAGGGAGCTAGTTTTACTAATTAATCTTTACAAATATTTTTCTTTTCTCCTAGAAGTTTAACAGAAATCAACAATTTCCAGGAACATTCATCCACATTGTTTCAAGAGGCTATTGATATGCAAATACATCTAAACATAGATTTTGATTGGCCAGGGGAGCAAATGCAGAGAAATGCCGCACTGTGTGCGTATGTGTGTGAGTGTCTTGAATGCATAATGTGACTATGCATGCATGTGTGTGTGTGTGGGTGGGTGTGCATAATAGCTCTGATTCGATTCTCTGTAAGTGCACTCTGTGCAAGTGGGTGTTCAAAAGTACTCTGACATTCTTTTGTGGGCACATGCATTTGGTTAATAATGGAAATTGTCTGCTGATGTTCTTCATAATGACTTTATTTATGGCACATATCCTGTGTGTACTGTAGTGTACGTGTGCATGTATAAAGTGTAGGTGTGTGTGTGTGTGTGTGTGTGTGTGCAGGACAGAGGATGTGAATCCCATGAACGACAGGTTGCTGTCCACAGAGGAGCAGATCACCCTGATCACTGAGAGTATGACAGTCACCTCCACTGACCAGGAAAAGCTGCTGCTGCTCAACAAGAACACCGAGCTCCGCAGAGTCAACAAAGAGGTACTTCACTTTAAACTACTGCAGCTTCCCTAACAGGTTAATGTGATGCTGGCAATTACATTTAGTTCTCTGTAGAGGAGGGCTGTGGGTGTCGTGTGAAAACTGCTGCTAAGCTGTGAAGAATCCTCATTAAACTAACATTTTTCACAATTAAACAACCTTTACATCCTGATTTTAATTAGATGCCGCTTTAATAAAAAGGAGTCCAGGGAAAATGTTCCTCTCAACTGACATAAACTGCCAAAAACATTTTGTGAACACACAGTTGTAGATTGCCTTACCTCACTGACCTAAATTCACTTCCTGATGTTCACATTGTTATGAGCACAGCTTGTCAGTGATGAAATGAATGATGCTGTCAGTGGCTGTGACAGTGATGATTATGGTGTGATGATGACGATGGTGGTGTATTCCAGCTGATGAAGCTGAATGAGGACTGGGACCAGGTGTACCGTAGCGCCACGCTGGGTCTTCAGCACAGACTGGAGGCACTGGAGCTAGAAAACACTGCCATCAAACAGCTCAACAATAGACTGCTGCTCAAACTGGAGCATCAGCAGGTACAGGACACACACAATAATACTTGAAGCACTAACAAAACCCCAAGAACTTTCCACTTATAAAGGCCAGCAAAGGTGGGAGTAGAAACAGTAAAGAGGGGAATTCCTAAACTGTGGGTTCAAGCAGGTTTAGATCGTGGTAGATAACATTTGTGGTTTACATGTTGATGTTTATTTATTCCGCATGCGGCTGCAGAGTGCAAAGGAGTACTATGAGCAGGTGTTGATGCAAGAGCTGAAGAAGAACCAGGAGCTGCAGGAATATATCAGGCTGCTGGAGAGCAGGATGCACCACCCAGATAGAGCCTGCACGCCTGTCAGACAGGTGGGTTTGTGCACATGTTCACTTTGTACATAATACTTTCTGTTAATATTGAATGTGGTTCATCACTCTGTCTTGTGTTGTCACTAAAGGGCAGCCTCGGTACTGTGGTACGTGGTCCTGTTTCATGCCCAACGAGTAATCCACCTGAAGGTCCCGACCTGTCACCCTGTCACATCTCTGGATACAACCACTTGTCCTCCTTTTTCCCAGCTTCATCTGGCCCAGGCACAGGGCATCAGGGAAAAAGCCAGAGCAGCAGTACCTCACTGGGAACACTGGGAGACTCCCAGCAGGAAGTACAGAATCTAAAAGAGCAGCTGGAGGCACTTAGATGTCAGGTAAACTTCTCTCAGCACAGCATCAAAAATGTTCCCAGTTGTGTTGTGATGAGAGCAGAAGTAATGTCATCTCACTGTTGCTAGGGGAAGGTTTGTTTAATGCCCAGACAGACATGAATTACACAGTGAAACTGCACCACCAAGTGGTGACTCTGTGCTGTTCTGATATTCGCTCATGGCATTTAAAAAAAAAATCTGCAGACCACAAGATATTGTTTTGATATGGGCTCACTCCCACACTGATGTACTGTGTCAGCAGACCCAGATTTATGAAGCAGAATACCAGTCCGAGCATAATGACCACAAACACACACTGCAGGAAAACCGGAGGCTGAGGAGGAAGAGGGAGGAGATGCACCAACAGGTGGCACTACTGCAAGAGCAGGTAGTGTTTTGTCTGTACACATGCACATGAATACACAAACAAGGCACATTAGTGATTAAACTACCTGACCACATCTTGACCACAAAAAAAAAAAAAAAAAACAGCAAGAAACTAAGGCAAGTGAAAATATGTACATGCAGTGCTGCAATTATTTTTTTTAAATTGTGTTAGTTGTGTTAACTGTGTTAGTGCCATGTTTGATTGGTTAATTGTGAAATGTAGAAGATAAATATAGTTGAATATAGTGTTTATAGGCAGTTCAGTAGCTGTTTAATCATATTGTATTAATCATGATCTAAAATAAAGCCACATCAACCTGTTTAGAGAATACATACAGGAAGGTATATCCTAAAGATGATTTTTTATTTTTATTTTTACTGATTCTGTTCTCGCATTGCTACAGCTCAAAGTTTATGAGGATGACTTTCGACGGGAGAGATCTGACAAACAGATGCTGCAGAGGCTGTTGTTAAAGAAAACTTCACCTAACAAAGACCCTGTGCTTATTCACCGATGTAATAACGAGCAGGAGCCACAAGGAGGAGACAAGAGGACGCAGAGCGGAGAGAAGAGAAAGCAGCACCACCCACTCTGCCCCAAGCACCCAAACAGGGACAAAGAACCAAACTGAGGCTCAGAGGGAGAAAGCCATGATCAACCATATATGAAATGTAAAACTAAATGAGAGCTATTAGTGTGTCAAATACTTTTACACAATTTGCACTCGCTCTCGTTAAAAACCTAGTGCTGTTACACAGGCGCAGACAGCAGCACTCTCTGTTTTATACTGACAAATAATAATTTGGTTAAAAAAATCATAAGAATGAAAAATCAGAGTATCAAATGCTTTATTTGTTCTTCAAGGTTTTTCTTGCTAAGCCTTATGAAAATAATGACAACTGAAAGCTTAATTGTATGTTCTATCAGGGATGTCAGTATATCATGTAACACACAAAGTGATTAACTTTGGTTTCTAATGCAAATATTTATTATAGATAATATATTTCATTTTAATATAGCTCTTTCTTCAAAGTTAAAGCAGGTTTTTTTGTTTACTCTGACTTGGATAGTAAGTTCTTATATTTTAAAGCACTAAAAATTGTCAAAATAATAAAATGAATAAGTAGAACCGACCTGCTGGTGTTTTGTTACCTGCTTCAGTGACAACTGGTTTGATTTGATTTGATTTATTCTTTCAAGCATGTAAAAACAGTTGATATGACAACACACATAATGTTACACATATCCAACAAATGCTAATCCAATATCAATGTGCTTATACCTAGTACATGCTTGAATGGAGTAGGAAGAAGTCAGACTTATCCAGTCCTACCCCATGACATCATCTTACCATCATTGGTTTGCAAGCAGTAAATGATTCACTTCTACCCACACACATATTATACTAAAAAACTAAAAAATAACCTAACACATTCTTACATCACACAAGTGATATACTAAAGAATGGTTACAAAATATACATCACACCCACAACAATTAATCATTGAGCCTGTTCTTGCATATATCTTGATTGACACATACCTTTATATTTATGTTTAAACTTGTCAATTCTAGTACTGTTTTTTATGTCTACACTTAAGTTATTCCATAGTTTTACCCCACTTATGGAAATACAAAATCTTTTTTTGGTTGTACGTATAGCATGAATTTTTAAATTTAACTGACCCCTTAAATTGTATCCCCCTTCCCTTTCATTAAATAGTTTTTGAATTCCACCAGGTAATAAATTGTTCCTGAATAACTGAATATGACATTTCCTTAATTTGTTTTAAATGTTGTGCACAATGTTTTCTTCTCAGTTTCCTTGTCTCCTTAAAACAACCCAGCACATGATAAAATGTGTATTCATTGACCTCAGAAATGTCGAACAAGGAAGTTGCTTTTAACTGATCCTAGCCCCACAGCAGCTGTTCATGATCAACAGAGTGAATGTTTGCTCTGTCAACTATGGAAACTGAAAGCCTTAACCTCTGGTGTTTCCTGGTCGCTGGTCCACATCTCAGCTGACTACTGGCACGTAGCATCACACAGCCACTGAGTAAATCAAGGGTTTTCCCTGTTAGTATATTTCTCAGCATCCTTTGTAAAAGACTCCTTAATGTGTCCTTTGTAAAACGGCATTAAAATATGTCTATATGAACATTCTTATATACAAATACTGTGAATGAAAAATAAAACAAAAAATTTAAAAAAATGAAGAAAAACTTTCCTAGAATGATACAATATCAGAAGTAATTTTATTCTGTTTTATTCTATTTTATTAAAAGAAGAAAAGTTCATTAATATACACATGCATACATGAATATAATGTTCTTTAATGTGAAAAATGTTCCCATCTCTTATTCATTCTTTACCCAAGCGTACACTATACAGAATACAAAAGATGCCTTTGTCCTTTCTTCATTTTGTACCTGACCAGGAACAAAACAGCTGAATATCGGAAAAGTTCATTTGACAAAATAAGAGTTACATCAGTGTTGACCAGTCTCGCAATGAATAACCAAGAAGGGGAGGCAACTGTGGTTGGTAGAGCAGTCGTCTCCCATCCAGAAAGTTCAAGGTTTGAACCCCCCCCCCCCCTTCTTAAGTGTCAAATAACCCCCCC